GAACCCCAGTAGAAGAGCAACACTAATCAGAACCTTGCATGCAACCCTCAGTTGCTTCAGGCTGTGCAAGTGTTACCATGGCATGGGTGTGTGTTTGGTACCTTAGCCAGGACGTAGGAACAGTCCCCATGGAAGGTGTAGGCTTTGCCATCAAAGGTGTTGATGTGAGCCCCCCCCTCCAGAGAGCAGGTTCCTGGACAGTTCTCCTCTGTACAACTCCACTGTCCACTCTCACACACACTGTCAACACACACACACACACACACACACACACACACACACACACACACACACACACACAGACACACACACACACACACACACACACACACACACACACACACACACACACACACACACACACACACACACACACACACACACACACACACACACACACACACACACACACACACAGACACACACACACACACACACACACACACACACACACACACACACACACACACACACACACACACACACACACACACACACACACACACACACACACAAACAAACTGTTAGCACACACAATTCTATTTAGCTTTTCTTTTGTCATTACTTTTGTTATGAAAGCCCTTATAAAATAGCCCTTATGTGTGTGTGCTCATTTATTTTTTGTTGTAGTTTGATTGAGTATCAATATTTGTATTTATTTATTATATATTGATGTCTTTTTGTTGAAATATTTTTCTTGAAAACAAGTTGGTTCATCTCAATAATACTCATAACACATTTTTGCTGATAACACATGTTCCATGTGTGTGTCGTGTTCCTTTAACAACACTGAAATACTGGATGCCATACCATTTTTTGCAGTTGCTGGAGTAGGACTCCCCAGATCTGTACGTCTGGTTGTTGTAGCTGCATGAGCACTCCTTCGACGGGACACAGCCCCGTCCATTCAGATCATCCAGCACCGTGCCTGCGGGACAGGAGAATCACTGCATTAACCCTCCTGTGGCTTTCGGGTTACATCTGACCAATTCACTACTTTCATCAATCATAAATATTGTGATTTACATTTGATTTCTTCAAGGACTGATGATATCCTCCACAGTTTGAACACATAACATTGCTGATCACCACTTTCATTGAATTTTGAGTGGTTTAGTCAACTGTGGGTGCCGGTCAAATATGACCTCCATAGGAATTGAAAGGGTAACCCTAGATTACGTTTATGCATCAGATTGTACTCATCCGAAAATCTTCAACCATGTTGATTTTGGAATACTTTTTCAGTTTTTATTCATTGTATATTCTCTGCAGTTATTCATGTAAACCAGTATTATGAGACATTGTTTACAGCCAGGGGTGTAGTGCTATTTCTATAAGTGCAGGAGCGCACCTATGACTCGCACATGAATGCACGCGCACGGTTGTGGCACGACCACCAAAACAGAAACATATGGACATAGGTTACTATATCAAAAGTGTGCAAATGTATTTAGAATCCTATCCATGTGAAAAAAAAATTAGTGGGTGGTGGACCTAACATCCTCTAGGCAGGGGGAAGATTTTTTTTTATGTTGAAGTTAAATGCATCAATCTGGTGCACTTTGAGAGCAAAAGTAGGGACTAAATCTATGGATACATCTCTCAACAACACCCATGTAAAACAGTACTGTAAACAGATGTACTTTTTCTTTATGCATATCTTACTAATCATTCCCCTTTTAAACTGTATTTTAGTTTTACTGTCCTATACTATGAGTTGGAATTATTTCATACCTGTTTTTCATTTATTCTCTTATTTTTTATAACTATAATGATCATGTAAAAAGGTGTGCCTTGGAAATAAATGGTGACCAAACTGTTTGATAACTGTTTGAGATAACTTAGACTAAAGTGAACTATCTGAACACTCAGAAAGTCCTTTACCTCACTGAGCTGACGTTATAAGATCCTCTCAGTCTGACAGGAGAGGACTCTCCTCCGCCTTGTTGTAGAAACAACTCCTTATGTACGTTAGCATAGTTAGCTAACCAGATGCTAACAACAATCCCCGGCACCCGTGCGCTCTCTCTCTCTGGCTCGCTCACACAAAATGCGCTTGACCCACACACACACACACAGCTGAGCTTGAATGACACACAGAGACCGAGAATAACTTTTACTACTGTATCCTATTCTTTTCGTTGGCTTTATTGTATGATCAGTATGACAGATGAATAGATGCCACTGGGCTTTCAACTAAAAACACAGCCACGCAAAAAACTGCGGCATGTGTACGGCTCCTTATGGGTAGGCTACTGCAATTTTTGAAGTGCGGCGTTCCGGTGCGCTCCGGCAGCACTACACCCCTGGTTACAGCTTAAAAGAGTATTGAATACAAATGTGAAATGTGTGAAACGAACACTACAGGAGGGTTGAACGTGTGTGTGTGTGTGTGTGTGTGTGTGTGTGTGTGTGTGTGTGTGTGTGTGTGTGTGTGTACCTGCAGGGCAGAAGCATCCATCGAGACAGTGGTTGTCGCAGGTGTGGCTGGCCTCTGGGTTGGAGCAGGTATCAGCACAGGGACTACCACACTCCTTGTACTCCATTTTGTCCAGACATGACTTCCCTGTAAATACATTTTATTTTTAGTAACATTCACTTTTCATAACTTCACTGCTGTAGCCTGGATCCAGACCCTCAACCGCACGCCAACACTTGTCTTCTAGAAATCAGCTTCTGCTCTCTGACCTGAATGAATGGTGAATGATTGCTTAGGGACTTGCCTTTGTACCTGAACGTGAAATCAAAATAAATAAATACTGTGTTTTGAGTCTGACAGCTTCAAACAACACGCCCATCATTTTAGTCCTGACATATTCACAGGCCCTGCAGATGGAGACCTTGTCTTGCTTGATTTTGGTTAGAGAAACAGTTGAGTCATCAGTGCTGTAGTTGAAGGGTCTAAAGCAGGGGTGGGGAACCTCCGGCCTCTGGACTGTATACGGGCCGCAGACCATTTGATCTGGCCTTCGAGGTAATTCATAAACACACGCAAAAAATACCAAATCAACTCCAAATTTAGATTTTTTAAATCTAGACAGCAATAAAACACACCGGGCAACGAACTGTTTTTCCTGGCCACTGTCAGGGTCCTTGAAACCAACACGAGCAGAACGTGTCATCAAGTGATCAAGTCCTGTAAAAAAAACTTCAAATAAACAAGACTGTCTGTAGGTCCATCTAATTTCTCTTAATTTGATTCCATGTTTCCCTCACTTGCGTCTTTTCTTCGCAAAACCACGTGAAGAGAGAGGAAGCAAGGGAGCTTTCCGATCGCTGCTGGGTTGGCTGTCAGTCGCTGCAGAGAGTTTTGATGGAGTTTGGGTTTGCAGACATGTTCGCTGATCTGCTACTAATAAAAGGCAAACCGTTATCTCTGCCAGAGCAGCAGTGTGTTCCTGTTCCACACACACCTGCACATTAATAACCCTGCTCTCTGTAGTTATTCTGTGTCCTGCTGAGCTGACCTGTTCTACCCGCAGAATGCCTTTAAATGATTCATTTAGTTATTAACGTCTACATTTATTGATGTCCTGAATTTTTGAATTCATAATCTAATAATCCAGGATATGATCGTGGTATTTTCTGAACACTGACAAGGCTTCATTTTTTCAGGAAGAATTACAATAACTTGTTACAGTAGGCTGTTACACCCAACGCTTCAAAATTGTCAGCCTGAATGAAAATGAACATAAATAAGAATAAAATAATGATATAAAGGAAGAAAGTTGTATGTGGTCGGTTTAGTTGTTCAGACGTATTATCACTTATTTTTAAATAGATGATAAATCCTTTGAAAAAAAAGATGTTGTAAAAATTGAAATGGCCCTTGATAGGAAAAAGGTTCTCCAGCCCTGGTCTAAAGTAATCACAGAGTTACATCCAGGTTCATGATCTCCTCTCTCAATTATATTAGAGCAAAATAATGCACGATTCTTTTAGATATAGTGCACGGCCAACTAGGATTAACAGTGATCAGTGGTGAGCTTTACTTTGGCAACAAGTAATGCTTTTTGTCCATCAGGGAACTCCGTAAGTCACAGAGACTTCTAACGACACGCTCACCAAAGTGACTGCCAGACACCATTCTCTCACAAAGAACTCACAGTAGGTCCTAATTCTGTGTGACTGGCGAAGCCACACAGTATAGTATTCAACATACTTATCTCATCTTATTCTCCTTCTGCCGCCAAAAATGTTGTCATGCTACTCGTCCGGCAGCGTTGACACGAAACACACAAAAAACACATCAAAACGTGGAGAATGACCAGGATCACGTTGCTATGTCTTTTATGAGAGATTCGCCTAGCCGTTTTCACGCAAATCGCAGAAAACTGCGATCATTTGCCCCATAGGAATGAATGGGAAATCCATTTGAACAGAGCTCAAAAACACCCCACTTTGACCCCATACAGATTCCCCCTACTTTAACGTAGGACAAAAAATACAATTTAAACGGTTCTCGAGAACCGTTTAACCCTAACCCTAATATCCAATTATTAGACTAATTGGATATTTTTATATAGCTAGTACAGTTCTCACACAGCTTACATTTTGTGAAAATGTCACACTGTTTCACATTTTATAATGGGTGTGTATGGGAGAGCTGGTTAAGACTTAGAGTGGGTGACATCATGGCTAGAGGAGTTTTTTTTCCAACTATTGCTCGGCTGGCCACAATTTTCACTCATACATAATTTGGTGATCATAATGTAGTCAGATCAATTTGTCACGGCCGCACCGATATGCTCATTTAATCAAACAGACACATATAACAAACACGAGAGTCATCAGGTGTTCATCTGGTATCCTAAATACTCTGGGTAGGATATTTAGCTGATTGGAGTTACATTTTTTTTACTTAGAAGCAATAATGCAGCACAATATTGTCAATACATTCTCTGACAGGTTGTCTCTCGTTCACTGGCAGGGCGTTGCCGTGGAAACGCTTTGATCTTTGAACACACCTGTCGGTTGTTAACTAAATCCAGTGGTAATCTAAAGATGTTCAGAAACGATGTAATAGATGTTCAGAAAATGTAATAGATAAACAGTTCAAATAGTCAGCTAAAATGAATGGATATTCTTTGTTGTACCTTAACAATACAACTATGCTATTAGTACTTACTCAGCAGGGGTAATGTTAGCATTGGGACGCACACCCGAGTTTCAGTCACACAGTCAACATTTCTCTGAATTTTCTAGTTCTACATAAAAATTGAATGAATTAAACATTCGCATGATACTGAACATATACGCTGTAGTGTATCTGCTTTTTAAAACCCTTAATTGGAAACTCACAGCAGAGCTCTTTGGTTCTCCAGTTTTGGGGTTGTCCACCAGCATGGCTGCACTGCCTGGATAACTCGGACACAGTGTTGCACAGACAGACTGGGTCCAGCTGTTCACTGCCGCCAGCACCACAGTGGCAGAGGTCAGCTACACAGGCAGAGGTAAAGGAGGCCACGTCCAGCACACTGTGACAGCTGCTGAACGCCGGGCCAGTGAGGATCTGCTCACACAGAGGTCTCTGCAGACACACACACACACACACACACACACACACACACACACACACACACACACACACACACACACACACACACACACACACACACACACACACACACACACACACACACACACACGCACACACACACACACACACACACACACACACACACACACACACACACACACACACACACACACACACACACACACACACACACACACGACAAGACAAATAAAGTAACTATAAAATAAAAAGGTATTACAAAATAATAATAAAAAAGAGGTATTAGTCCTTTCATTCTCAAATGAACCTATTTCCCCGTACGTAAAACAATATGTTTTGGTTTCCATAGAGTGGGTGGAGCTCACCATGTAGTTGCAGCTTTGTGTTGATTCCAGTGTGTAGTCAGAGCAGCTTTCAGTTGGACCATTCATTTTCCAGAAGTTAGCAAAGTCCACGGGGGATATTTTCACACCTGGGTTACATCAAAGAAACATCTTAGTTTTCTGGCCAAACCTACACTGATGGAGTTGTTTATGTGGCTTAAAGTGTACCATGGCTAAAGAACTCATTGTAGACTCCATTAAAGTCTCCACAAAGACCACACGTTTGGTTCTTGTACTTTGGGTCTAATTCCACCTGTGAGGACAAAACCATCGCATTAAGGGACAGCTAGAACCTGCAGATGATTCACCATACAATGCTCATTCTGATTATCAACACGACTTTTAGAAATCAAAGTACATATGATGCTTTAAATAATATTAATATGGCGGTTCTACTTGACAAATGGAAATGTTGCATTCCATTACAACTTATAAACATAATTTGTTTAGTGTGCAGCCTCATCTTGTCACACTTAAATTCAAAGCTTTAAAAGTGATTCAACAATAATGGCGATAAAAGATGTTTCTCTGCTAACACAATCCTACCAGAAAAGAGTCTTCCTCATTCCAGATAGCAAATAATCCCAGTTTTGCTTTGATTTTGATGTAGGTGGGACTTCTCTCGATGAGTACACCTGCTTGACTATATGGTAAGATGACTCTGCAAAAAGAAAAGTCACATCATTTCATGCTGGTTAGAGCCAAAGGGAGATTTTCAATAGTATCCAAAAAAGGCAAATGGAAATAGAGGATTTTAATCATATCCTTATTTACTCGTCCTACATAAGTACACAACACCAGTCCTAGTCCTGGGAGCAGTGGGCGGCTACTATACAGGGAGCAGTGTGGGGTTCTGGTGCTTTGCTCAAGGGCACTTTGGCAGTGCCCTTACTTGGTCCATTTGGACTCTTGACCAGCAACCCTCTCGTAAGCAAGCCAAATCCATTCACAGTTGCCGACATTTTGTCAGGGATTGTTTGCAGATCAAAATCATAAAACATTGAACATCGAACCACATTTTTTCCCAACACAATTCACCTCATTAACCACTTCATTCAACAGTTTTAATATGAATACGACACATAGACTTAAATAGTAACATACTAAAGTTACCATGGCAACCATGTTACTGTTTATGAAGTCACAACCACAGTCCCAGTGTATTTCTATTAAAGTTATGAGATTTCATATATGTATGCACCATTGTGTCGGCAGCACTGTGTTATGCAGGCAGAGCAGAAAGGTCTTAGTGTTTTGAAGGTTAACTTACGATTTGCCATTAATGACCACTGAGCCCACAGAGAGCTCCACTACAGAGCCCTCCAGCTTCATGATGATGTTTTTGATGGTGTGGTGGTCGCCATCTTCCCCCCTTCTTATCTGGATGTTGAAGTCGCTGTAATAGCTCCTGCATGAAGAGGTCAGGACGTAGTTGCAGGTGGAGTGCAACTGGAAAACATCTCCATCAAAGGTCTTGTAGTGGAATTTGCCCCACGTACTGCAAACCTGGCCATTGTGGATGGGACTTACACCTTCAGAGAGATCAGGACATGAAGCCACAAAAGGCCGATTTGTAAATGTGTCATTAGGTCCATGCATGATTCTCACATGTTGCCTCCATAAGGAAGCTGTTTACAGTTATGAACCAACAACCAAAAAGCTCACCTGTTATTCTCTCAGGAATCTGGGACCTGGAGGAGAACGGGTCCACAGCAGACGTTGCATCTGTTGAAAGAAGTACGTTTTATTTTGTCAAATATTCCATAACAAATCTCAATCTACATTTAAACACAACAAGACTGCATCCCACAGGTAAACATTTGAACTGTTAATAGTCCCTTTTGTTATATTGTCAAGCTTCCTAATGGAATATAATATATTTACCGCTGTACCAGGCAGCTATAACTGACAGCCATAGCAGCCACTCTTTAGCCATAGCCATTTGCTTCTTCGGGAACTCTGAGGAAGATGAGAGAGAGTTCCAGCGCTTTATAGCAGGGAGCAAGGTCTTACTGATGCAGGGGAGGGAGTGTTTGATATGGTGATTCATGATTGCTAATCTTACCTGTCCCATTTATTTCCATTGTCCCTGGTACACTCCCCTTCAAACAACTAATATGAAGGGCGAGGTTACAGAGCATGCAAACAGATGTTCACCTCACATCTGTGATGGAAACAAACTAGCACCAAAGGCCACAGCATGTTCTTATATAGAATAATGGCCACTCTGATGGCCGGACTCACATAGTGTGTGCTTTTGGTCCTTCTGATGTGATCTTGAACTGAATCTAGAGAAGTAAAAGTCACCCTCTCACACTTTTCACTTCACAACTTAATTAAAAAAGGTTAATGATTGTTTATTTTTTTTAACCAAAACGATGTTCCTGTTTAACATTTTGTGATGTCTACAAATTACCACAGCTTCATTTGTTATCTTACCAGGGTAAAGCTTTGAGTTCAAGTGCAACAGTGAAGAGGAGTGTAGTACCTGATGTGTAAGGGCTAATGGGCTATCACTAAGGGCAGCAACGTTGTAAATATTGACGATACATCCAGCAAAACGCCCCCAAACAAAACTGGTAGTGGCCTGGCTGGGTGTATAATTCCCGGCCTGACCTATGGTCCCAGTCCGGCCCTGCTGACACATCACACACCCATACACTACACACATTACTGATTAAACTGATATCACAATTGAGTTACTCTCTTTAAATAAATATACTGTAATTGGAAAATAATCATGTGCGGTGTCCTTGTTTTGTCCGTCCTTGAGCCAGGGCTCCCTATTGTTGTATAGGTTATTCTTGGTTTTAGAATGAATTCAGTAATGGTGTGTGTGTAACACAAACATAATAAATCATTGGATAGTGTTTCTCAAATGAAGGGGGAACATAATGAAATAAAGTAATGTATTAATGTGCACATTAACTCTATATTTGCCTCTGCCATGGTGCCAAAATGAAATGAAATAAAAGAAACAATATATAGGGGTTGCTTCTTCTCTGAACTTATATGTATACTGCATCCCTCCAAATCAAATAAACCATAAACAAATACATAAAGTCGTGTTCACTGCAGCGATCTATTTCACACACAAAACTATATGAAAACGTGGTGATATACAGTTTTCTCCTGGAGACCAAGGGAAGACAGGCTTCTCCTGTTTTTTCAGCCTTTGTTATCATTTTGATAATTACAAATATATATTCTTGTCTGTGGTTGTTTTTGCGTTCAGGGCATACAAAAGGTGTAACATTATTTTAATACCAAAACTATATTGAAATAGAGTTTAGCTTGAACAGCAACGTAGCTGTAACATTACTGGGTTATTTGGTGATAACAACCAAAGTGGTCCGGCCTCCTCCGGCGTCATACCCTACCGGGCGCGTTTCAGAAGCATTTCAGAAGCGGAGCGTCTTGCCTGCCGGCTCACAGTTTTTGTTGATTTGGGCATATTTCCTGGACAGGCTACTTTGTACAGACAAAGTTAATACTAATTGTAATATTCCAGTTATAAACGACATGAATCAAAGATGTGTTGCTGTATTTTAGTGGTAAAAAAATGCATTCATCATCATAATTATTCTATATATATATAATTTACACAGTGCCTGTAAACCGGAGGAGAACGCTGGCATTTCTCCTCCTACTTGAAAGACTACTTGAAAGGATAGGGTCTGCAAAATTAGTTTATTTTGGGGATGGGCCGGATGCTCTGATCGGTCCACTTCCTGCCCGGCGCCTCTGCAACGCCTCGTGTCGCGACGAAAAATAGACTTGAATCCTATTTTGAACTGAGCCCAGCACCGAGACGCTTCTGGGACGCTTCTAAGCCGTAACGCGGCGCGTCTGGTGGAATAGCACCCATTTAGCGCGTTCACACCGGAGTACTTTTCCCACAATAGTTCATCAGAACTACGATATATTTGCGTTCACACCAAAAAGCCCCAGGAACTAAATTAGTTCATCAGAACCATTTTTACCCGCTTTTCAGTCCCTGCTAGAGAGCAGGGACTTTCGTGGGAGAAAAAGGTTAATATGTCTGATTGGCTGTGCGGAATGCAAACCACGCCCCGTAAAACTCTGAAAAAGTGTTCGTAGCCGCCATTGTATTTGCTCGCATTAAAAACTCAGTGCGAAGAGATTACTTTTGTGAAAGCAGTTATTATAGCAACACTAAATAAATCATCGGAGCGGTGGAGTGATGAGGATGTGTCGGCGCTTCTGGCGATTTACTCGGAGGACGCAATCCAGAAGCTTCTACTGCAAAATGTAGGAGTGTTGTTCCGCAAAGTCATGCCGGGACGACGACAAAGGTGGACGCGCACCCGGAAGGTGGACGCGCACCCGGAAGATTCGGATGCAAGTTTTTCAGCGCTTGTCCGTGCATCCATATGCTCGTTACTTTAAAACGTTTTGATGTGATTTAGGTGCCTTTTTCTATACAGTAGTATTTGCCACGACGTTGTCTTTAGACTTTCTCGACGATGTTCGTCGCATGAATAAGCGGCAGCATTAGGGCAAAATCTGTGAATTACTCTCACACCCTACACACTACTGAAACCACAATCAGGTCATCTACGATCTACGGAGGCCTTCTCCCACCTGTAGAGTGGCTCCACGCTTCGGGCTGGGGCCTGCTTTCACCGGGCGTGTGCTGCTGTGCGGAGGAGGATTTGCTGCGGCTGGGGCCTGCTCTCCACCTGTCCTGGTTCTGCTGTTGCGGAGGCCTGCTCCCACCTGTCGTGTGTTCCAGTGTCGTGTGCTGCTTGCTGAGGAGACCTTTTACCCCGGGGATTCCACGGAGAGACCGGTGCGCTTCCTCGCTGCTGCTTTCGCCTGTCCTTTGCTGCTGTGAGGAGGAGGATTTTTGCCCCGGGAACATCGCGGATATTGTGTGCTGGTCTGGGAGGATGGCCCATATCGTGATTCTGCTGTGCCTGTTAACTGTTCTGGACTATGAGAAGATCTCTAGTCATCCTGAGAAGCCTACTGGATTCAGGTCTGTTCTGCCACCCGCAGTAGGCATCCCCTGCAAAGGGTCGGATGTGTTACACAAACAGTTACCGGTCACCTTGTCGCAGACAATCTGCTCGACAAAATATGTTTGTCTTTTTTGTTTGCCTGCGATGATGGTACTTCAGGACTGCTTCTTAAGCTCAAATCACACTCTCGCAGACTTTTCCGGTGATTCTAAAGTAGATGACAATGTGTGTGTGTCGATTAAGAGGAAAAGATGCCTGTTTTTTTTGTTGTTATTGCTATCAGGAAATGTACAACCTAACCCTGGTCCGCCCAGTAGTAGTAGTCAGATCGCTACTCCTGCTGATTTTAAAGCTAGGTCTGGGTTGGGTTTCATCCACTTGAATGTGCGCAGTCTACTAGGTAAACTAGATTTTGTCCGCATTTGGGCAAGCTCGACTGACGCTGACGTCATTGTGTTATCAGAAACATGGCTAAATAAAACTATTTTGGCCTCTGACATATCCTTAAATGGTTATAATGTGTATCGTACCGACCGGCCTAATAAAGGTGGTGGAGTTGCCATTTATGTTAAGAATAAGTTCAGTGTAACCACATTGATTTCCAAATCTGTCAGTAAGCAATTCGAATTTTTAGCCTTAAATATAGACGTGGCAAAGGGGCAACAAGTCATGGTGGTAGGGTGTTACAGACCCCCCTCAGCTGTCAAGGACTCCTTGTCTTCACTAGCAAAACTTTTATCGCAACTAGACTACAAGGAAATAGTGCTACTTGGAGATTTTAACTGGGACTGGTTAACTGCAGTATCAGAGGATTTTAAAAACCTTTGTATCTCTCTGAATGTTACTCAGATTGTAGATAGTCCTACTCGCCCTAACGTTAAGTCCCCTAATAAATCCTCCCTAATTGATCTCATTCTAACTAATGTTCCCTATAAATACCCATCTGTGGGAGTATTTGCAAATGATGTGAGTGACCACTGTGTTGTAGCCACAATTAGGGACACTAAGGTCCAAAAGGTTAAACCCCGTATTATTATTAAGAGACACATAAAACATTTTGTGGAGCAGGGTTTTGTTCATGATCTGTTTGGGTTTGATTGGGGAAAAATCGATCTGTGTGCTGATGTTGAAACTGCATGGTCTTATTTTTATCTTGGTTTTATGGAAATTATAGATAGACATGCACCCCTACGTACTTTTAGAGTAAAGGGACGAGACAATCCTTGGTTTTCTGCTGAACTGTCCAGTCTCCTACATGAGAGAAACAAGGCCTGGGCAAAGGCTAGGAAATCAGGCTTAGAGGTAGAATGGCTACGTTTTAGGCAACTAAGAAATAGCTTCACTTCACAGGTCAAAAATGCTAAGTCGAAGTACTATTTGTCAGTTACCACAGAAAACCTAAATAATCCTAGGAAATTTTGGAAAGCCATAAAATCGCTATCCACCGGTGAGATCCGAAATGAGCTACCTCCGTGCATTACCACAACATCTGGCTCTATATCGGACAGGGCTACTATGCTAAATTGTTTTAATGAGCATTTTGTGTCCTGCGGTTCTATGTTTGATTCTGTGACTAACTCTGCTTCTGTGAACACCACAGTCGGTGACTCTGAA